AAATCTGTCGTCACAGATGTGTTTCATTAGTTCATGTTCAGTGTCTTCAAATTTAGTTGATCTAATTTTTTTGTGTATGCTAGTAAAACAATCGATTTGCATTACTCATCTGAGAGCAGGCATTCTTTTTAGGGCTTTGCAGAGAGATAAAGACGTGCTTATTTCCACAGGCTACAGATGTCAAACACGTTCTACGAGTCTGCGGGACAGAACTGGTTCACTCTGGATAACGTGTACATCCATTACAACTGGACATACGAGGCCACGTTCAATGCTACAGATGTGTACGCGCCCTCCACCAACTCCTATCACTGCCAGCACGTCAGCAGCCTGCAGAAGTACGACACGCTGCTGGTGCCCAGCGCCAACACCGACCACGCCGCACACTGGCACATAACCTTCACCGACTTCCAGGTTGGCAGGCAACTCTTTCCCTCCATCCTCCACTGATAAGCGCCTCATACCGGAGTTGTAGCATCTTGTGCTGTATTTTTAGCCTCTGGTGGGTGTAATGTGGTTACACAAGCTTGTGGTTTGGCATGAGAGCAGCGTCTTTTTAAAAAGCTCACAGTCCAGAGTGTGTGGAAGAACACGAGGAGTTTGGGTGAAATGAAATGCTTTTTAATTTGGATTATAGAAAACGAATTATTCTGCTTTGCCTGGAAGCCTGGAACATCACTGACCATTTCTACAAGATAGAGAAGTAGAAAATACTTTATCAAGTAGAAAAACAGATTAGATAGACATACAGACGGATGGATGGACAGAACGAACGGATGAATGTACGATAGATAGAAAGATAGAATGACAGATAGATAGATAGATAGACAGACAGACAGATAGATAGATAGATAGATAGATAGATAGATAGATAGACAAATGGATGAACAGAATGAACGATAGATAGATAGACAGACAGACAGACAGTTATAGATAGATAGATAGACAGCTAGATAGATAGATAGATAGATAGATAGATAGATAGATAGATAGATAGATAGATAGACAAATGGACAGATGGACAGAATGAACGATAGACAGACAGACAGACAGACATACAGATAGATAGATAGATAGATAGATAGATAGATAGATAGACAGGTAGATAGATAGATAGATAGATAGATAGATAGATAGATAGATAGATA